ATGTTTGAAACATATATCATTAAAACATGTAACATCTATTATGGCTATGTATCTTGGAAGCTATATTGTATTATATTGTATTATATGTGTGTCGAAAACGATATATACCACCGGCAACATGTGGGATCCCCATTTATCTACGTAGATATCATCATTTTTTGTATACAGTCATAAGCCATCCACATCTTGTGGTTGGTTATTGTGTGTATACCTGAATACCGTACTAATTGGGGATGTGCATATACCCCGGAAATTGGATGGTTTATTCTTGTGGATTCCACATTACACCAAAATTACCCATGTCAAGATGACATACCCAATGACAGACCATTGGTCTTAGAGGTAGCCCCTACGAACAAAACCATATGCTCTAACACTATCTAACAATCATACACCACATGTACACCTTCACAAGGTGGGGCCCCACGTCACAGAACTTTCAAGTTGATGTATTGAAAATCCGCTGCATTTTTGGGATATACATTTGCATGCCCTGTGCTTCTGTTTTTGGCGCAATTCCGTCATGGAAGGCCCCAGGACCTCCCAACGTGGTGTGGTTAACTGGCTAAATTGGATGGAATAACATGATCTGGAGATTAGAGAACCAAAAAATTCTGGCTAAAAAGTTTCCAGAAAACAAAGACTGCTTGGCGTCTCCCTATGTTCCGTTGAAAGCATCAAACAGTGGTGGAGCTTCAACTTCGAGACCAGCTACCCATTTTGGGCCTGCGGCGTTGATACTTATAATCCCAAATTCTTTATGTTTCAATGTGTTTTTCATGGTTTCACAAGTATCCACTAAATTCCATACAACCATGATTGATTACCTTTTCGGTAAAAACATACATACCCAAAGTGGCCTTAAATTATGTACCAGCTGGTTGGTGGCTTGGAACATTTTCATGTTTCCATATATTGGGAATGTCATAATCCCAACTGACGAAGTCCATCATTTTTCAGAGGGGTAGAAATCAACCACCAACCAGCTGATTATTAATCATCATTAATCATCATCATAACCATTGATATTAACCATTAATATTAACAATATATTACCAACCAATAGTAGGTGGCTCAACCACCAACCCAACAAGAATAGTGATTCAGCATGGTTTAACCATGATTTAACCATGATATATATGTATTAACCACCATTAACCACCATTAACCAACCAACCAGAAAGTACATTCCACCCGTCGCCATCTCGATGCTGAAGCCCCGTCGCGTCTTAGGTCCTTGGAAAGATGAACCCATGAGCCGCTGCGGAGCGAACAGCAGATCACATGGCTGTCGGTCGCGTGTTAAACAGTACATACCCTCTGGTTATTTAACATAGCCATTGAAAATGGCCCATTTATAGATGACTTTCCCATTAATACCTCCATTTATAAGGGATTTTCCATGGCTATGTTAAATAATCAGATGGTAACTATCAAAGATAACCATGGTAACCATAATGAAACATCTATAAATCAATGCACCATAGAAAATACATGAAAATTTACCATTTTCTATTAAAATACATCTAGAACTAATAACTGATATCCAATAACTATGACATAACATAACTAATAAAACATAACTAGTAAAACATCTATAAATGGTCCATTTATAGATGATTTACCCATTTATAGATGTTCTATAGATGATTTACATAACTATGGTAATGGGTAAATTATCTATAAATGAACCATTTTCCATAGCTATGTTAGTTTACCAGGACGTATTTTGTTTTTTGGTTAAGTCGTGAAAGTGCCTCTTGCCTAGGTCAAGCTTGGGCAATTTTATCCCTTAAAATCTTTTGTGATTTCAATAGGAATATCCACTAACCAGCTAAGACGTTATTATTTCGAAGGGCATCAAAGATTGGCAATGTTTCAGAATATGCGACGTGCGAAGAAAATACAAGGATGTGTGGATGTTTAGATGGTACTCATAGGCTAAGGCAATTTCATCCCCAATTGATGTTTATTGGGTATCCTTCTATTTGGGATGTATAACATGACCAGTCACGGTTGGTGAATGTGATGATTTACAACAGCACATAGCAGATCCACGACAGATACTTCCAAATGTATTCCAGTGAACAAGCGCACATAAACCCGTTTTGTTGATTGATTCAATCTCCATGTTTGTTTGTTGGAGATAATCAAAATCCACCAACAAAACAACAAAAGTATACAAAAGTCACAACAGTCTTGTTTCAAGACGTTTTAATCATTCATATGTGAAGTCAAAATGATGGACCAAAAATTTCCATTGTAAACCTCCATCCTTTGGTCGATCTCTTCCAGAGTAGTTGCCTCTGCGTTCGCTTTTTGGCGTTCGCGTTCGACACGACACACAACGCGTTCGTGAAAAAACAGGAGTCGTGGCGTCGTGGGGTGATTTGTTCACCTTGAATATTTACCCTCTGGTAAACTAACATAGCTATGGAAAATCACCATTTTTAATGGGAAAACTCACTATAAATGGCAATTGTCAATCGCTATGTTAGTTTACCAGAGGGTAGGCCCTGATAGTCTATACATTGATTATATACACATACTGTCAGGAATGATTCGAAATGCAATTAAATGCATTACATTTTATTTATTTACTTTGTAGCGTGTAAACCCTGGTATGTAACAATGACAAACATAACTAGGATATATGCAGCAGCAATTTCGATTGCACCAACAAGTATGGAAGATATTCAACCAACAGAAACAGCAGGTCCTCAGCAGGGTGACATTTGTATGAAAAGTAATCCAAGCGAAGCAGCCTGCACTCTGAACAAGTCACCCAAAACTGAGGAGGTGAAAGTTGATTTCGAGGCGGCTGATTTCACTTTGTAGTTTCCATTTTTTAGTACTAATTCCTGTACTGTTTGCTGCATTGCTGGTGGAATTCTCTGCTTGGTGATCCCACTGAGTAGGTTATGGTGATTTTCGCGGGAGTACTGTTAATCCAGTTATAACTGTTATAACATACGAGGGGGGATAAACCATCAAGTGATGTTTTGTTGTTGCAGGGGAGCGTTCAGATTCGCCACGCGAAGATTCGCACACTGATCCCAATGAATCGCATACGAAGCAGAGATGTAGATGTCCAAAGTGGGACCAATCGCAATGGGGTTTGATCCCCAAACACAATAATACAGGTGAATGTTACAAACATGTCAACAGTGTTTGTATAACATATATAGTCACATACTTAGCGCATAATAATAATAATAATTTACATATATATATACATATATATATATACATATATATATATACATATATATATATTATACATGTATACACCTCATGTACTCAAATGCTCTCAAATCTTTAGGAAACTGAAAAACTCATCCCTGTAGTCATCCTCCTTTCTCAGCGAGCGGCTCAAAGATAGCCGACTGCACCACAGGCGAAGCGTTCTGGCCAAGGCCAAGTGAGCGTTCTGGCTGCTAAAGCCCGGTTGATTCATGATGATTCATGATGATATGGATTGTATAGGGATTGTACTCTTCAAGATATTGGGGATTAATCTATGAACTGAGAATCCCTGAACACTCAACCAGTCGAAAAGGAGGACGTCGCCAGTCTTGAACACTGCTCAAGTTGCATGAAGAGGGGGCACCACTGGATGATCCGACACCACTAGCGACAAAAATATGACTAAAATTTGGTTTACAAGAGCGAAAAAAGTCATATGTCGCCTTTAAAGCCCATATAATATATATATATATATGTATTATATATATAGCTATATATTATAGTTATGTTATGTATATATAATCAAATGAAGCAGAAGCACATGTTTCACTATAAAAAAGTGACATCCCAGTCGCTGATAGTCACTCCAGTTCCATGTCAACTGAAGAAAGGCTCCTAAGAGGTGGGCCAGCCAAACGATAGGTGTCTTATAAGTGGCTTAACTATGTTGTACGGTAGATATATCTGTAGTATTCTATAGTAAATGAGGTGAAACTAAACCAACAAACACAGCTGGGGCCCAAAACGTTGTGCCTTCCACTGTGGCCGTGCACATCATGACGTGCACATCATTGCGTGTTGGAATCCAAGAGGCGGATGGGATGGGATTGAGGCATTAGTGGGGGGTGTTCCATGCCCATCAACTTGAGAATCCATGGTGAAGGATGATACTCGATCTTTTAACCATGGCATTGCCATGAGAAATTATGAGAAAGCTTGGCAAAATTGCCAATACTGAGCTGGTTGGTGGTTTCAAACATTCGGATGATTTTCCATGTCATATATGGGATGTCATCCGAAACCCATTGACGAACTCGACTTTCATATTTTTCAAGATGGTTACGGTAAAACCACCAACCAGTGTGGCTTTTTGATCATTATGATGGGATGACTGGATGACCATCGTTTTTTCACCATAGGACCATCGTTTTCTCTGGGATTTTCCAATAAATACGATCCAGCTATTGGGGATCCTCCATGACTATGGAAAGCCTCATTTAAAAAAAAAGTTTGAGATGTGGGTCTACAATGATGTGTATACAATTGTGTATATATATATACATTAAAATATAGAGTATGGACAAAGAGTAAGTTTTAAACTATTTTAAAAAATCAACTGTATATAAGTAATACACGTGAAACATACCGGTATGTCCCAATAACAAAAAGGGGTAGTGGCCATTTACCCTCCAGTAATCAAGTTCCAATGGGAAATGCCCACATCTACGGGATCTGTGGAACTGTTTTGTTCCAGAAAAATTGTGATTTACTCTCTGGTACTCAAACGTGGCAATCGAAAATCCTCCAAAAAATCATGTACATAGCTGGGAAAGTCATCAAACTATAGCTCTGACACCTGAGGGTATACTGAGATTTAGAATGATTTAGAATGTGTATTTTGCAGCAGGACTGGATCGATTGAACTGGGAAAGTCCGAATTTTTACCTGGGGTTGAGCATGGGGCCAGACTATGTTTCCTTCAAATTGTTCATAAAACCAACCCAGTGAATTTGTGAATGCCACCAGTGAATTGTGTCCATTGGTGCCCGGCTTTTGACCCATACAGATGATGATATTTATGTCCATATTCTTGGTGCCGCTCAACCGCTATTTGATGTTGAATCCCAACAAATATATCAAATCTCATTGCTCGACAGGGATAAACCACAACGAATGGGGTGCTTTACCATGTTTTACCTTCATATATGGAAATGACCCAGTTCATCATAAACCACCAATCTGGTTCAACCAATCAGGATTAAAAAACAGCGGATTCATTCAATTATAGCCCTCAAGCCAGTTATAAGTGGTTTATTTCATGATATATAACCAACTAGCTACAGGAGTGATAGCATCATATTTCATCCCATTTATAATCGTTGAGGGCCATAGATGTTGTATTTCATCTCGTGTTTTTTAACCTTTGAGGGGCTTCAACAGTGTTGGTACTCCCTCTCGCTACCGCAGCATCTAAAGCCCTGCCCTTCTCTGGTGTGTACCCGGAAGCTTGCAGCTCCTTCCAGTGGCGAACTGAGCGAACAGGAGGAATGCTGTGATGCGCTTAAAAGATCGCTGTGAATTCATGGGGATGATCAAGGTTAATCAAGGGATTACTGTATACCTATTCTGCTTGGTGGTTTCAAACATGAATGGATTATTTTCCATTTCATATATGGGATGTCATCCCAAACCCATTGACGAACTCCATCATTTTTCAAGATGGTTATTGCACCACCAGCCAGTATTATTGTGAAGGGGAATAAGGACTGATAGTAATTGTGAGTAATGTGGTTAAAACAATAATAAACCATTCCCCAAATCACCATTTTTATAGGTGCTATAAACCATTCCCAAATGGGTGGTTTGTTATTGTTTTAACAAATTCATAAATAATGATCCTACTAATATCCTAAAGCCCTACAGGGAATGGGATGAAAGATGTTTGTCCAAAGGTATGGCTAGTGGGGAGAGAGCTGAGGAGCTATGGGGATCCATTTTCCCGACAAAAAACTGGAGAGCCAAGGACCTACTAAGACTTTCCTAACCACACGGTCAATTCAACTGGGCTTCCAATGACCCCACTTTCTTCTGGGCAACATTGCCTGTTTAACCAGTCTATGTCCTGCAATATGCATCCCCGGTTCGTTAGCTAAGTTGATTTACAACCAGATTACAGTAACCAATTTTTATTATAGATATATCACACTAGATTGTTTGACCAACAAACAGACCTGCTGGGCACCCAGCACTTGTGCAATTGTGGCCGTTTACCAATTATATATAGGTTATAACTACTGGTTATAAATGAGATGATACATTCCATAAATGGGGTTATAAGTACTTATAGCGGGTAAAAAGGGCCATAACTGTGCCCTTTTTTCTGAG